AGTGGATTATTCTATAGCAATAAAATTTGTCCTTGTAAATTTAAAATTAATTGCTCAGAATTTCTTGCACGAGTTTTCCATTTACCCCATTTATTATCTAACAGCAAATCACAAAGAAATAAATCATCTTGGCATGTATCCAACCTAAGTTGTAGATCCCTACCATGTATATGACACCTTTGTAACTGTTGAAAATATTGTCGGTTTTTAAAATTAAGTATAAGTTTTTCAAGCAATAAAGTATCAATACGTTTTTGCATCTCCCTTTCTAATTGCTTAGCAATCCCTCACCAGTGACGTCGCTCTTCTTGTTCATTATTGAAAGCTTGGATAGATAAATCTCGTTCTGCTTCAACATTTTGTAGAACGGCATATTTGTCTTGTAATCCTTTTTATTTGATTAAATAAAATCTCTCTATTTGTTCCTGGATTATCCAAATATCCATCTATAGTATTGGCTAACTTGACTATTGTTGACATTTCTTCTGATATATTACTGTCTTGTGAATTTTCATCAGATTCATTTTCAGATATTATAACATTAGAATTCCATATTTGTGAATTTTGTAAAGCTTCTTGAGTATTTATAAGTTCTAATTTATCCCGATATCTTAATAATGCTAATGCAAAATTTTGACAATGTAAATCAGTTATACGTGCTTTTTGCAGATCTATTTTATTATTTCTATTTATAATAATATATTGTAATTTACTTATTTCATGCTTAAGATGCTCATTTTCATCTACTAATTTTGATATATAATTAAATGCCTTGGGGGTATTACCTGCTGATTTGAATATTTCTCGAATTCTGATTTTTAATTTTTTTTCACATTTATCGAATTTCGTTATTAACTTATCCTTAATAGATATTTTTTCATCTTTTTGTTTATTTTCTTTTTCAAGTTGTCAAACAATTCTTTTTAAATTTATGATTTCTTTCATCATTTCATCATTTTCTTCATTAGAAAGTTTGATAGTATTTTCTAGTTCCTCTTCAAGAAATTGGATTCTTTCTTCATATATAGCAATAGTCCTTTCTAAAGTATATACTCATTGTTCTATGCTTCTATTTGATTGGGCTAAATGCGATATTTCCTAATGAAGCTCCTGATTAGTTTGTCTTAATTCTTCCATGTTTTTTTTTTACTAACTATAATAGATTAGAAACGAAGTTTCATTGTTTTTCAATAAGTAATGGAACAACCTGTAATTTATATTGACCCGCAGAAGGCCCGTGAATTGGATGGGGAGATTACATTACAGAAAATATATTATCAACCTGAAGGTTATTATCGGACTGCTGAAAAAATGAGAGATGCCTGTAAAAAGGCTGGTTATAATTTTTCCTTAAATGATATAAAAAATTGGTTAAATAGACAAATAACTTTTTTGGTTCATAAATCTCGGCCAAAATTTATTCAGTATGCTTCTTTTAATGGCATACGAGATTTAAATGAAGTACATAAATCAGATCTTACACCTCTTTCTCATGATAAAATTGGTAATCAAATTTTCAAACATAAGGGTGTTATAAAAGATATAGAACTAGATTTTATAAAAGTTGCGCTTTAACTAATAAGTCTTCTGCATCATTAGCTAAAATGTTTAAAGCAATTTATGATGATCCTAATAATCACCTTACATGGCCAAAAGTTTTAATAGTAGATAAAGGCACTGAATATTTAGGTGAATGTAGAGATTTATTACTTAGTCATGGTGTAAAAATTATATAAGCTAAATCTAAACGTAACACATCAATAGGTGAACGAGATCATCAAGAATTTGAAAAACATGTTTATATTCGTTAAGATGCTGTAGATTTTCTTTTACCATTAACTGAGAGATGTCGAGCATGGGTTAAGGGACTTTGTTTAAATGATGATATTTATAATAATACTCCTACTCGATTAATTCATATGTCACCTAATGAAGCTGTAAAGAAGGCATTAAAAGGCGAAAAAATTATTACAGATCCATCTGTAAAACATTGAAGACCTATTGGGTTTAATGAATCTCGATTAACCTATAAAAATTCTGTTTTATATTTACTCAAACCTGGTGAATTAGAATTTGGCAAAAAACGAATAACTGATATGAATTGGTCTCCAAAAATTTTTCGTATTAAAAAATCACTAATACAAAAAAATCAACCAATATTATACTGGCTTATGGATGAAAATGGTGGACCTGAGTGATCATTTGTAAGAGAACAACTGATGGTAGTTAAAAATGTTGAATATCCACCGAAATGGATCCTTAAACAGTATTAAATTATTCTGAAAGAATGTGTTCCATTCTACTTGTCTAAAAGCACATTATCAACAGCTTTCTCAATTTCTATTTCAGTTATAGGTCGATCTTTTTTGGATAGTTCATAATAAAGATTATATAAATCTTCTACACTAATAAGTAGCTCCTTTTTACCTTGATACCATTTTCTATATCGTATCATTCTTATATTATATGCTTCATTATTTGGAAATAGTGTTATTGCTATATATTTTATATATTCATCTTTATTTTCTGCATTACGTAAATTTTTTACATATCCAGCATATTCACTAATAAGCTTACTATCTTTTCTATATTAAAGATGAAATGCTTCTTTTATTATTTTAATTTGTGCTGATTCAATCGTTTTCCATGTAATATCATGCATTGATAACTCTGAGTCCCGCTCATTTATTAAACTTGAACTATTGTCAGTCATACTTTGTATTTCATTTTATATAATATAAGTTTTATTTAATATGCATTTTATTATCCGACCTTTTCATGAGAAAAAAAAAGATAAATATCTCCTAAATGAGATTTACGACTTATTTATTAATCTCAATTTTCGGATATTTGCTCACTAATTGTTTTATTATTTTATTCGTTATTCATTTACAATTTTGTATTTTTATAGTTTTTATACTTGTACATTTTTCTGGTATATTTAAAACAGTTTTTGGTGCTATACGATTATTTCCGTAAATAATTATATGCTTTAGATTTTTGCATGTATCTGATACCATATTTAGCAAACTATTATTAAGAAATCCCCAACCACAATCTTTAAATGATATTGTTATTATATCCTGGCATATATCTATAATTTCTTCTAAATAAAATTCATCCAAAATAAAATGACTATCTATCCTTTCGAATTCTATCTGTTTTATATATTTTGTTACATTCAATAATGGTTTCTTTTTTACTAATTCTACAAATTTCGTGATATTATATCTATGTATTATAATTCTTCTCCATATTAAATATGTTGCACATTTATTTCATCGTTTGTTAAAATATAAAACTGGAAACAATAATTCATTATTACCACATAGGCTATCATTTTATGTTCGTAAATGTTGTAATATTTCTATTATAATTTCATTCGAAAGATTTATATTGAATCTTTTTGATGGTTTCCTTTTTATTGCTAACTTTGTATTCTGCTCCTTATCTTGTATTTTTTCAAAATTTGGCAAACTATTTGTAATCAAATTTGGAATTTCTGAGTAAGGTGGTTTCCATGTAACTGTTATACAATTTTTTACTATACAAATTCCTCTTTTTTCAAGTTTTAACTTACCTATTTCTTTACCTGTTTTGAGATTCACTCGTCCAACTACTATAAATCCATCTGTATGAATTCGTTTTACTTGATCTCCTAAAGGTTTTACAATTTCAAAAATTGTTTTTCTAGTTGAAGCTAATAAAAAGGATTTTATTCTTGGGTGTGTTCCATAGTTTTGCCCATTCCTTTGCTCACATAAGACACCCCATAATGAAACTAATAATGCTTTACTTACTTTTCCAGCTATTCCGCCTTCTTTTTTAATATTATATAATATATTTCCCCATTCTTCAAACATGTTTTTTCCTGTTATACATACATTTCTTTCATAAATAAGTGCATTTGGTGATTCATTTATCAAATATACTTTTAAACCATTTCTTTTAGCACTCTCTAAATCATAATGTGTGTAAATCCCATGTGGATTATATTGCAAATATCTTGTACATTGAAGACTTTTCTTTGGCGGATTTCCTTCTATTGTTGCTTTATAAATTCCATATGGAAATTTAGTTCATTTTTTTATTAAAGATACATCTATAGTATGAAACTTACCTAATGCAACAGGCCATGATGCTTCTTTCTTTAACATTTCATATATATACATCGAATTTACATCATATTGAATAGCTTCTCCTTTATATTTTTCTGCAAATATTAGAGTGCCTGTTGATACTAAATCTATCCAAGCCTTCTCCTGTTCACTTATTCATTCACTTTATAATGGTGCTAAAGTAGCTTCTTTGAAAATTTTTATAGTTGTTAATGTATAATTTCCTGATTTGCGCATATCAATTCTATCATTAGTTTTTTTAGAAATAGCTTCAGACTCATCAATAATTCTTGTATATGCTCCTATACTTGTTTTTCTATTATCTGCTTTAATAAAATAATATTTATTATATAATGCATGAAAGTCATCTTTAACACCATATCATTTTCTTTTTCCATCATAAAATTCAAACCCATTTGATATATTTTTAAAAATTAAGATAGTTTTATTTCACTTTGTAGTAAATCTTATCTCTGGGTCGACAGCCAGTTCTCTTGCCTCTCTTGGATGGTGCGTTGGTGGATTTTTATCAAATGATATGAGATCACCTTCCAGGGTCGATACTGGATTTTGCTCTGGAGTAGCATTTTCTGCCTGAGGTGCATTTTGCACTTGTGTTAGTTATAAGAGAGCTTGACATGGTCTGGATCGTATTAAATCCATGTGTTTATTCAGATCATGAGTTTTACCAGTTCTTGGAGTGAATCCACAACCTAGACATTTACCTATCATTGTAATATATATTTGTATTTCGTGTTTTTTATTAATATAACCAGATCTTTTTGTTTAAATTAAATTAATTAATTCAGTTATATAAATTTATCGAAAT